AAGGGGTGGGCGCATACGTGCTTGCAACAGCACAAGGAGAAAAATGGAAAAACGGAAAATGACTTCAGAGATGAATGGTTTAGTTTGTCATCAATCCATTGTATGACTTAGGAAATGTTGGGGTGGGCTTAAAAGCTGTTCAGATCAGACTAGTTCTGTCACATAGTGAAATGGAAAGGAGATGATAATGCTTCATACCTGCGAGTCAGGAAATTCTTTTAGAACACATACACACATATATACAGATATTTAGAGGCCATTGGTAGGTCTTCAAGGGGCCTTTAGAGGGCAGTACTCCACTGAGAATTAAGGTACCCTATAATGCATTCCCACAGGCCAGTACATACAGATTAACAGAGGCTTCTAATTTATTATGATTCTTTTGGTGAAGCGTCAGTGATTTTAGTCCAGAGTTGTGAACTGATTTTTTTTAAGTTGTGTATTAAGGGCAAGAGAAGTTTCTTTGTGATGAGCAATTGACCTGTTTGTTGTACACGCTGATGCTCATGCAGGAGGAAATGTAGTGGCTTTTACTTAGAAACGATCTTGGTATAGCAGGAATAGGGGAGGAGAGGAGAGGGAGGAGAGAAAAGCCTAATGAAGTCTGTTAATTTGCTGCTATCAGAATGAAAGTCTTACTAATTATGGCCCTGGGTCATCTAGTGTGGATCACAGGGAGAGGTGGCCCTGCATAGTATACTTTGATTAGCTCACTCACAACTCAGCTTCTCACTTCATTATTCTTTTTTCCTCTCTGTCTCAGACTCGCTGGTACGCTCACGCCAGCAAGTCTGGATAGGGGAATAGTCCAAGTGCAAACAGATCAGTCAAGGTGTCATGTTAGCATTTGTCTGGATGGTGGACTGTGTGCATTGAGAAGGCAGAAGGGCAAAGGTGAGGGCAAGTTGCTACTGGATATACTGGATGTCTCTTGTGCATTCTGCCAGGCTGACTCAAATTCGGGACTTAGCTGGATCAGTACAGTGAGTCAACAGTCAAGCCGAGCGCCTGGTTTGACTGTTCATCTCCCCTCTGTTGACTGTAGAGTTGACAGATGTGTCGGAATGGTGGATTTGTTCACTTGCTGCAAACAACCCTCCTCCTGTGCGTCAGATGTCTCACAGTGGATTTTGCTTCAGGCAGTGGTGTGTGTATTATATATGCATGTGGCATTTTAACATTGAATTGTGAGGCCCCCAGATTATCACTGCTACAGAAATCCCCCTAATAACAGTGATTTAAACCTTACCTGCATGGTTGCCTTGATTAGCTATTGGAAGCAACAGTGATTTAATTACCCTTTTGAAGACTGCTGCCCTCTCAAATTTCCCTCACTGTGTTCTTGAGTATCTGCTTTCTCACAAGGAGGTGACTGTATCTCTATAACTTGCCATAAATAATGAAGCCTCATCAAGAGAAAAGTCAACTCAAGGGTGTGATATCTCCTCAGGAAATAAAGTAGTTGGACAAATATTGGATAAAATAACAGGGCAAATAAGCACACATACAGTATATGCTGCCTGTCTCATTCACACTGCCAGCACCTCTTTACTTCACATTTCAATTTCTTAGATGTTGTTAGATCATGCAAAGTACTTGTTTGTTTGTTTGTTTTTTTTATTTGAAATTTTATGGATGTCCCTGTTTGTGTGCAAAAAGGAGGGTAGTTCTAGTAAGGTGTTTTGTCTGATTAGGAATCCATTCCGATGTGAGTGTAGAGGGATAGGGAGAAAGAGAAGGACATCTCAATGTGTGTGTGTTTGAAGGGGGGGGGGCGGTGGCGGAGGTTGGGTAGATTTCAGGGGTTACTTGTCTCTGAGGCCTGTCTGTCATGTACAGCATCAGTCATGCTCTTTCGCAGCAGTTTTATTTCATCCACCATTCCCTTTAGAGCTCTGACGGCACAATTCACTGATACTGCCTTGTGGGAAGTGCTACTGTTATGGGAAGCATGTGTGTGAGTGTAGTGTTACATGTTGTCATATTTTTGTCAAGTACCTTTAGACAGTGGCAGAGATCAGATGAAAAGCAGTAGAAGAGGTGAGACAGGTGGTAGATAATGCTCTTAAAATTCTAGCTCTACATCCTCATCTGACCCTGTAACTAAACATTTATTTTTTGAAGGAAAGAATGAAACTTTTTTTTCCATTCAAGAAAAGACAGGAACACAAATTGACATTTATTTATTTTATTTTTTGTTAGTTTGTTATTGTGTGACTAATGCAGAATGCATTTTCCCAGAACAGATAGTACATTACACTGAGGGTTAAGTAAAATTGACTGTCCTTCATTTTTGCTCTATTTTTCCTACTTATCTCTCCCCCTGCTTAGTCCACAGTCCTGTCATCAAGTTGACATTTATCACAAGCCTCCATTAAGAGGTCTTTACTTCAAAGTACTTAGCCTGCAGAAGGCTAGCACTATGTGTGCTGTGGCTGGACAGAGCTGGTCTTTCAACTGAGACTGTTTTCCTAGTGTTGGTGTCTGTCTGTGCACTGCTGTCTTGTCTTGTGATGGAGTCCTGCTTTCCCTTTGCGTAATATCAATGTGATCTCAATTTTTAATGTCAATTGTGGTGGTTCAGTCTGTAACTTTTCTCTTCCTGTCATGCTTTTCCTTAAAAGGTACAACCTTTTCTTTCAGCAGCATGTCACCTTTGCACAAAAATTGTGGTTGGCAAATCTGCTTGCCATTAGAGCCTAAAGTATCTACTGAAGTTACACTACACTTACACTGTGTCCCTTGCTTCTTTCCTGCTTTTGCTAGACCTGTGATGTAATGCAGACTCCTCGCTGCTCTGCACTCACAAGTGTATCCTTATCTTCTCCACTTCCTGGGTGATAGCACAGTCTGATAACTACAACACTTGCCGCTCCCTCTGATTGATTAACCGGTGACCTCTGACCTCCTGTGGGACATTTTAATTGGCTGATGTATAATGAGCAGGCTTCATTGAAGCAGAGCTGTTGCAAGGCCAGGGAGGATGAGGAGGTGGTGCTGGAAGGGGGCTCTCTAATTAGCTGATTTAACTGATAACACCTCAGGCAACTTGGTGAGAGTGTGTACAGTATGTGTGTGTGTGTGTGCTATATGATTTCTATCTTATAACTATCTCTTGTATGATGGATATTGATGCAGCCCTAACAGTATTAGATGAGGGTGATTCATGATGTATATGACCCTGCCAAGTATGCTTATATGCACTGAAATAAAGTAGCTAATACCCTGGTACTCTGTGTTTCTTGTGTGTGTGTTGGCGTAATAAATGAGATTCTGTGAGGCTCTAAGTTATGATGAGTAAATCAATACAACATCTTAATGCAGTAAGCTGAGGGCTTTCTGGGGCAGGCTCCTTATATTGCATTCAAATACCCAATAATATCAAATTCAAGATTATATTCCTGTAAGAATAAAAACTTCAGTTTTATGGTAGTTTTAAGGTAAACATTGACATCATTACATTCTTATGGACTTCATTTATGGTTTATAATTTAACATGGTTTTCATTTTTCCTGAGAAAGTGCTGTTTTGCATCAGACTGTATAAAGTACGTATATTGTCTTGTATCACTACTTACTGAACACATGCACATCTTGTTGCAAAGCAGCAAAAAACAGAAGGGGTACTACTGTACTGGCAGATCATGCAAAGTGACTGCTGCCCTTCCAGCTGATTTATCAACTAATCATTTTAGGTCTAATCTTTACCAGGATTAAAAATACACCATGCATGGCGTGTAAAGCCATCATAATTTATATGGAAATCAGGTACATTTTTAGTAAAATTAGCTGTTAAACAGTCTGTTTTCCAGTTTTCTACTTGATCTAGTTGTTTTATACCTGTTTATATATTCAGCCATTTTTAATTTAAGTTTGAAAAGTGTATTTATTGTTTTCTTTCTTTCACACGGGACATGGTTCAGTCTTGTGAAAGTTTGTTTTTATCTCTTCATTTTCTCCCCCTTCCTTTTTTATGGTACATGTTTTTCATTGTCTTCCTTGTCTGTCCCCTGCAATTCCCTTCTGTCACACACTGAAAGACTATGAGGAGACTGTACCAACACAGGATCCATGTAAGTCTAAAGATAGCTCACCGTGTGGCCATGTTTGTGTATTTTTGTGCGTGGTGGTTGTACTGTAGGTGTGCATGTTTGTGGACATGCGAACAGTCTTTTCTACAGGAGCTCCCAGCATTACCTGCTCTCTTTTTAGATACATGATTGCTGAAAGAAGACCAAGCCCATGCAGAACAGTAGAAATACCTTTCTTGTGGATTTTCTTCTCTCATTTCTTCTCTTCACGCCATAATTACAGCACCAGAAAATTACCCAGCATACTCCTGGGATGCACTTTTTGTTCTTTTAATGTGGTGGCTTAAATAATTAAATCCAACCATGAACTCCCCTTTCTGAGTGTGGCTCAAGAGGGTTTTGTATGTGTGTATGCATATCTGTGTTTATCTTGTTTTGATGTTTGTTGACATCATGATGCTTCTTCTGCTACTGTATATCTACCATAGTACATATCACAGTCTCACTTGACTGGGTTCATCCAACCCAGATTTACCTTCACTTATAACCTGATTACTGTGTAACATTGTGTTTATAGGACAACCATGGCTCACCCATACCATACTCTGTCAAGTGGTTTGATCACAGCACTTTCCTATAATCCATTTCTCCATGCTTATCATAGCATGACATGTCATGGAGGACTGCGTCATAGTTCACTTAGAGAAATATGTAACAACATACTTACAACAAACAAAGAAATGGAAAATGTTTGTGGGGAAACTTTAAACTCTTAAAATCCTTAAAATTACTATATTCCAGTTTTCTCCTTTTTTTCTAGCTGTACAGTAAAAAAAGATATCTAAATCTCATAATCTGTGTCTGAAGTTGTATTATACATACTGTATGTCAGCAATACAGTAAGTGTATGCATTTATGTAAATCTTGCTTTAGCGTGTTGATAGTGATTCATTGTTTCTGTCTTCATCAGCCAAAAAAGAAGATGAGAATCTGGAGGATAAGAAATCCATAAAGAAGAGAATTAAAGAGCTTAAAGTGCTCGATCCGAAGATTGCACAGAATCTCTGTAAGTGTGTTTTCTTCTCCTCTAAAGTACTGGATTTATACACATCCACATGTCTTGATGTTACAGTGAACTGGACATTTTTGTCATTCTATCCTCATTTTGCACTATATCTCACTTGAGTCACCTCCTGTATCCCTTATATGTTTTATGCATGTTTTATAGTGACCTAATAGAGAATTGTGGCAGGTAATAAATTACACTTTTGCTTGGTGCTGTAACAGTTACAGCAAGACAGCATTTAAACCCCTTTCCAAGATGCATCCATAGCCAGGAATTTGCCTGATGTTTCATGTATTGGTGTCCTCTCTGAACAAAGCCCTGTGTCCCATCATGACACTGGCATTTTTACCTGGTTGGACCTAGTCAAATAGGTGGCTGTGTTCTTACTGGATATGTTTGAACTGAAGTGGTCAAATTGCCAGCAAGGCCTGCTTAGTTCTTGCTAACGCCACTACCTCTCTTCATTCACACTCTAGCTCGCTCAACCACCGCTTCTCTCTTGGGCAGGCAGTGAAATTTGGGCACAAATATAAAAAGGACACAGCATCACTAGCTTGTATAAAGCTTATCTTGAACTGCTTCAAAGAAGATGCTGTTTAGCAGTGTGAGCTGACACAGAATGTTTGGAAATTAGTCCGACATGGAAGTCAAAGAAGTACTTATCCTCTGTGCAGAGGAAGAAATTACTAACATGATAAATAGTAAATGGCATTGCTTTGTGTCTGTCTAGCATGATGATGGATATTGCTGAACACTGTGGATGTATCCGGCTAGGTTCTGGTTTGTTTGAACATAAGCAAATGCCAAAAAGCAACTGCAACAGTTACATGTAGCCTGCAAATTCACAGGTACCATGTCTGAAAGGGGCTTTACTGTGGACCTGCCTGAGGCTGTGACTCATGTCTTCACGCACAGACACAAAGCCAATTAATAATGTTAAGCATCCATTAGAGCAGGGAAAATACAACTATGTATGATCACGTTGATCTCTGTGTGTCTCGGTCTCTCGTTCTCACACACTTGCACATTCACACATGCATGCAGATATTCTCCGTAATCTTTAAAGTTGTGCATCATCTGGCTCCTAGTCTAGTCACACATCCTTAAACTGATTGATCTTTTATCTGGCTAGACTAATGCCTTTCCCTGTCAAGGCATTTTCCATTCAGTCCCTTGTGGAACCAGTTGCTTGAGAATCTAATGCCTGCTTAACAGTGTAATTTTTTAAAATCACTTTTTCTAAAATGTTTTTATTAATTAGATTTCTCTTTGGCTCTTCATGTCCATGTATCCTTGAGCTGTGGTTTCACTTTATTTAAGAATTCTTCTTTTTGTTTCCTGTTTCTAATACCTTAAATTGCAGCATTAATTGGTCTTTCATGAATTGTTTTTATATATTTAGCACAGCTTTTGTTGCGGCTTTTTTGTTTGTGTTTTTGTAGCCATCTTCCTAGGTTCTTTCCGTATGCCTTATGAGGAGATTCGTCGCATGATAGTGGAGGTGGATGAGGAGCAACTCTCTGAACCTATGATCCAGGTAAGGCAAGTTTTGCATTAAGTTGTAAAAATGTTTAGTTTCATTTACTTATCTGACATTAGTAGACCTCTTTTTTTTTTTAATCTGCCCGCCTAATGCTTGGATATGAACTTACTTATCAGAGACAGAATATTGAAAACTAGCTCAACCTACAATGTGCAACTTTTCACCTTGCGGCAACGAGTATATTTTTAGTGCTGCCCTTCTCCTACTCACTTGGTCGGGTTCATGTCCCAACTCTTGTTTATTGCCTGGATTAGTTGTCTACCTTGAAACAGCATGTCGCCTGAGGCTGGAGTATCAGGCATATGAAGCCTCAACAGGTGCTGAAGCAGTTGGTGAGCACAGCCAATCTGTGAAGAAATAAATAATTAAGTGTTCTGCCAATGTTAAGCAGTGTTATTTAAATGATGTTTCTCTGCTGTTCATTTTGCGTTACTGCTTTACCACTTAGCTTTGTGTCAATTTTATGTTCTTTACGTATTAGTTTTTATGCCGGCTACTGTATATATGTAAAACTGCTTTAAGGGAACAGTGTCCATCTGTGTCTTAGTGGCAGTGTAAAAAACACACACCATTCACTTTTAAATCAAATTTTGGAAGACTTGTTACTACTGCTACTACAGTAGCTGAAGCTTTTTCCAGCTTTGCTTTAGTTAGCAGGAAGAGGCCGAGTTAGACCTTTGAACATGCCTGACCGTGTTTTTTTTGTTTTTTTTTTAATGTTTTCACACTGTATTTACACATGGCTGGGATCGGATCACAGTGGGAGCCAGACCAACTCTAGAAGTTGTGGAGCTGATCAGTTCATGTTACAATAACAGTACATGCTGCACATATTCATACCTTATATCAAATTTTTACCCATCCAGACAATGTCCAGATACGATCGCAGTACCTGGTGCCTTCTTGGGTTTTTTTTTTTGTTTGTTTTCTTCTTCTGTTTGCCTTTTTTTCTTTGGAGAGTATGTCTGCCCCTCCTTGATAACTCTCAAGTTCTGTTTTCATCAGGCTAGAAGCAATATGAATAAAGTCTGAATAACTGTGCTATAAAAATACAAACCAAATTGAAATCAGCCTATAGACCAAAAAGCGGACTCTGCATGTATTTAAGATTTCTAGAATATTGTTTGTGATTGGCCAGTGTGAGTGTGGTTAAGCTGAGCTGAAACAAATAAACAAAACAAACCTGATCTACTGATGTACATTTTTCTACAGAATGCATTTGATCCATAATTGTTAATTACAGCCTGCATGCAAATAATTAATAGTTATTAAGGCAAAGTGCATCAGTAAAAACAAGTAATGGAAGTGCCATCAGGAACACATTTTTCCTGCCAATTTAAATGCGTTAGACCGACATATTTAACACACAGTAGCAGTATTTGTTGAGGTGGCTGTTAAATTCAAATGAGAAGCCAGTGTAATCAACATGGCTTAAATAATTTAACATTTATTCTTTTTGGCCATCTGAAAAAACCCAATCACTTGTTCACTGAATTGTTTATATACATTTGCTGTCTACGGTATATCCCTAAGGATATAGTCTTTCTGATAGTGAAGCTATTTCATTGCATTTACAAAACATTTTTACTGAAATACAAAGAACAGTAGTAGGTTTTCATCATCCACCAAGGGTAAACGGCGTACATTTTGTACAAGAAGAACTCAGAACATGAAAATGAGGAGGATATAACGTAATACCTAGTACAGTTAGTGAAATAAAGTGTGTCAGGCATCATGACATGAACACAAGACTATTTTTAAACAGATTCTTACCAGTTGTTTTGTTCTGCTCTGTTTTATTCCATGCTGCTCCTCATTTTCTTTCCGTCTCTCTCTCTTCTTTGTAGAACCTAGTAAAGCACCTACCGGAGCAGGAGCAGCTTAACGCCTTGGCCAAGTATAAAAAAGAATACACAAATTTGTCAGAGCCTGAGCAGTTTGGGGTTGTGGTGAGTTTATACTGTCTCTCTCTCTCTCACACACACACACACACACACACACACACACACACACACACACACA